ACATTGCCTGACATATATTTATTTTTGCTTGCTTGAACGATTAAAAAGTGGCTCTAAATTTGACTCTGCATTAACGAGTTTAGTTTTCATTTTGATTTTCACATCGGTGACACAGAATATGGTGAACAGCGTGAGGTTTTTCTGAAACGTGGATCATGTGGACTCTTAATGGCTAATCAAGAGTAATTTACCCGCCTCTGCACATTCCTCAGCTGCTGCAGTTTTACTTTTCCAAACTACTCACACAATTACACACATTGCTGCTTTCTTAAAGGGAGAGGCTTGCTGGTAGATATTTTCTCTAGTTTTGATTTTTACACTATTAAATAAAATCTGAAACAATTTTAACTCATCGCACAATCTAACTTAATGAGGAACATTTTGCATTTATTCCTGATCATGGGGTTTCCAATGACATTAAAATGGATTTATATGCTTAATAAAAGCCTTTTACAGCCGTGTGAGAATGAGTCTAAAGGCACTTTATTGTTAGCTCATCAGTCTAATGATGGTTTTGGTTCTGATTGTATAATGAAAACAGTCGGAGCCAACCTGAGAATGTCCATATAAGGCAGAAAAGCTGAGCGGTGTTGCCGGTAAACCATTAATTCATATTTACAGTTAATAATTTTTTGCACTGAAGGACATACCCTCTTTTTGGTGCCGGTAGGATCAGCCTCCGTGCCTGAAGTGATCCAGATCAGAGCAGAGCCCTGACCAGACCGTGTGCCGCACATCCACAGCCTGCCATGCTTTATCAGGACTGGGTCAACTTACTGCTTTTGTTAACACCACAAATCTGTGATGCAGGTTCTTGTGAAGAGTTTGTAGTAGTAACAGACTGTGTGCTTTTATTTTGTCAAATCACTGGGTGTCAGGATGAAACATCTTAAATTTGGCTGAATGCCACTAGAGAAAAGTTGACCTTTTGTGGTTTGCTTTCAGGACGTGCAATTATTCCTTTGGTTACATGTGCAAATGTTTGACTGTTGCAGTTTTAAAGCATAAATTATCTGTCTTATATGTTCTGTGTGCAGCCTCACAAATACAAAAATGTAATCCTTGAACTTGGAGTTTTCTCTGGATGATCTGATGCATTATCCTGGGAAGCCACGACCCATAGACAGAGCTCGGTCATGGAGAGGAATCTACGGTTGTCTTTCAAAACGATCTGAGCACCCAGCTGGACAGCATCGGGACCAATCAGAACAATGAACAACGGGATGTATTTATCACTATTGAAATCAGTCAACAGGAGAATCTGCCATAAACTGTCAAAGAATAAGTAAATACTGCACGGTGGCGCAGTGGTTAGCACCGTTGTCACGCATCACGAAGGTTGTAGGTTCGAAACTCGGCTGCGGCCCTTCTGCGTGGAATTGCGTGTTCTCCCCATGCATGCGTGGGTTTCCTCCGGGTACTCCGGTTTCCCCCACAGATCACAACATGCCCTATAGGTTATAAATTGTAAGACACTTTGGATGAAAGCGTCTGCCAAATAAATAAACACAAACACAAATACACATTTTTTTCAAAATAAAGGACTTTTGTACCTCTATCTGCTCATGTCTCAATGCTTTCATGTCACTGATGCATTTTTGGACATGACGATCAATGTGCATTGTCCTGATTAAATAAGCAACTAAATGAAGTGAAATGAAAGAGCTGTGATGGGCTGAACATGCAGTAGCACAGTAGGAACTACATGATTCACCAGGGGTCAGCATCAGGAAGAAAATATTATCTGAGGTGAAATTCAGCCTAAAAAAACGTGTGTTTACTTGGAAGGGGTGGGATTTCAAACTGCAGCCAAACATGAGTGGTTTCAGCTCCAGCTTACAGACTTCATTCCTGAGTCCGTCACTGACCCCCATATGGACCTTCGTTACACAAGCTGGAATTCCCTATGTCATGTATAAACCGCTCTCCGGTTTATCTCAATTAGGCATAGAGACGGTGTGCTTTCTACTGTTTTAACAACTCCAATCCCAATGCCCTAGTGTTTCAGGTAAACACTACTTTATAAACCTTTACACCCCCATCAGTTTCACATTGCAGCGTTTTTAACTGATTTCTAGCTTTTTGCAGCAGCAGCAGCAGCAGCAGCAGCTGTCTCCCATGCAGCTCGGGGGTGCTTCCTGGAGGAATATCAGAACGTTTCTGCTGAATTAACCCTGCACTGTGGAGTTAATGGTGGAGTAAACGTTTATAAAACGACATTCACATGAACAGCTGAGATGTTTCAAGACAGCAGCTATTCATTATGTAACCCCACTGGGTATTTTACTACGTGCTGATTTAATTTAGAACTTTGAAAGCTGTTGTGGAAAACCAAGACTTGGTATTTTTTATTTTAATCATTTTTTATATTTTTGAAATTATTAATTCATAAGTTACCAAACCAAGAACTGCCTGGTGCCTGGTTCCAGTACACGTTTTAAGTCACACCTTCTTCACGTAAACTGAAGGGACCTCTTAGAGGAGGCAAGACTTGCAGACTCTAATCCCAAGAACCAAAACCAGCAGAGATGCTTGGTGTGGTTACGTCTTTTATTCAAATCTTTGTGTCCTTGTGGAGGGTTTAGATACTAGATGGGCTAATTTCATTACTGTTATATTAAAAGCATATAAACCCACCAATAACTAACATAGTTTTTAAATACAAAAAGTATTCCAAAAAGTGCAATAGGACAACAGAAGCCTGAACTTTCATGGCTTTGTCGTTTTTCACAGCAGAAAGCGTTTCTAATTTCAGTCTTCTCTGTTGGCCGACTGCAGTAACGATGCTGGCATTTTAAAGCTTTAAAAACTGCTGACTTGGCTGACCTTTCAGCCTGTGCAGCTGATACATGCAAACACTTACCATTAGGTGAAATGAGTTGGCCTATTTGTAAGTTTTATTTATTGATTTTTTTAAGCTTGATGCTTTTTTTTTTCTTGTTTTTGTTTAACGATTAATCACAAATGGTTTTGTATTTAAAGCCTCGCTGGATAAAAGAAACTGATGCAAATCACAGAAATCATACGTTCACACATGGTGGTGAGTTGTCTATCAAGAAATAGATTTTATGGCAGCTCTAGCAAACCTTGTGCAGAAAATCCTTTTACTTTCTGGCTCATCATCATTCTTCCTCATCATCCTGTTTACCATGGAGTGGTGTTCCTGTTTGCACGAGCACCTGACCCTCGGCAGCTCTCTGGGCAGTGGGGGTGTTGATCGGTGAGCCGGGACAGCTGCCCTCTCACTAGGTAGCCAGCTCCATACTGTAAACCTTCCCACACAAACTGCCCTGGTGCTGTAAAGCCACACTGTTCATCTTCGTCTGTTTAATAAATCTATGTTTCTGAGGACGATGTGGAAAAAAGAAAAGCCTCAGGTGTGTTCATGAGATTTGCGTGCACCTGACATCATCAGGTCATTCCTGAAGCTATGACACTGCAAATAAAACATGCAAAATAAGCTGTTTTATAAAATTAAACTGTGCGTTTTTACATCTTGTGCAGTCTAAGAAACTTCAGATGTAGCTCTCTGAAAAGATAGCAACTGCTTTGAAACGAGATGTTGCACTGATAGATTGAGATTGCTGTGCAGAGAGCAGATGGTGTAATGAAATCCACGTACTGCAGTAAGCACCCCCATCGCAGCTTCTGCCAGCATGAGACGGTACTTACACAGTGCACAGCAATTATTATGAATCATGTAATTTTTCCACTAAATTCCTACATTTTCTAAAGTTCACGCTATTGCATTCAGGGTCAAAGTGTAGCGGGGGGACGTGCCTGAAAGTTCAAACCTATGCATTCCAAATGAATCCTATGTTTGGTACAATTCTGGATACATTAGATCACTGCGGTGTGCATAAATGTGCCTAATAACGCAATCAGCACCAAGGTGAAGGGTGTAACTCACAGAGGAGCTGCTGGAGCTAAAAGAACTAACAGATCTGCCGTGCTCTGAATCACGAGCCTGCAGGTTCAAAGGTGTGCTTACAGAACAATAGATTCCCCTGAAAAGTCTGGCTTGATTTGCCGTTGTCACATAAACAGCCTGCAGATCCCCACAAGCTCTGCTCGGTTATGTAAGTCCCTGTTGCGAGAGGGAAGTTACCACGGCCCGTCGAGCGTGACGTGACTGGGCTTCCTCCCTGTTGTTGGGAAAACAAAAAGATATTAACACTCCAAATAGTTTAATGAAACGACAAAGCACGTGTGCACCGGGGCATGTGGGCATTCACGTAAATAAAAATGGATGCGTGTGTAAGCTGTGTGAGAAAAAGTAAAATCTGATAAAGTACTTTTTATCCAAGAAAACCCAATCTCTGCATGATGAATTTTGGCTGCTGAACAACTGAAACTGAAACAAGGGGCTGCATAATTCAGGCTGATGTTGAATATCTGTGTAAATGTGTGGCTGACCTCTATATTAACATTATGCAGACGAAACATGCTAATTTAGAGCAAACAGAACATAGAGCTGAGCTGTGCAGTAACACCACCCAGTGATGTGATGTGATGGTTCCGGATAGCATGCAAGCAGAGAATTAATCACACTGTTTAAAGTGAGCCTCTCCCAACTATCTGACCTTGAGCAGAACATCATTACTCAGAAAATGACACCAAGGTTTTGGCTCGGTGCAGCAGAGCACGCCGGACCTGGACCACAACTCTTCTTATGAAGAATACAAGTAAAAGCCAGCAGCAGCATGTCGGGTAGCAAACAGGTTGCTGTAATGTTTGTCATTCACTAATGCAAATCCCTGTTCCTGCAGATGCTCCTCGTATAAATGCTCCTGTGCATGTGCACTAGGGTTCATGTTACTGTTATCACCACCACGGGCACTTTCAGCCACTGCTGCATGACTGCACCATGTGCAGTGCAGCCTGTTGTCCAGGAACCAGAACATCTGCACCATCTAGTGGTTCAAAAGAAACCAATTCAGAAAATGCATGTTTAAAAGAAAGTGACTCAAATTATCAGAAACATGCAGAGAAAACTCAAATTATTTTTTTTTTCATTCTTTAATTAAAAATGTAACACATTCTGTACATACAAATATATCCAGTGGTACCGATTCCTCTATTTTTATTTTTAAAAGGGGGCATTAAATAAATTAAATGGCATTAACAATCAAAACTGAGCAATGCAGCTGCTGCTTTCAGGATCAAACAGTTCATTTTAATTTAAATGCATAAAAAAAGGTCATTTGTTTCCAGTTCCTCTGAAATGTTGTTTTAAACCTTCAGGTTCTAAAAACTGGAAAATGCTGAGCTAAAGTGCCAGATTAGGATCCTTTAGCAGGTCATTTTTCAGGTTTCTACTCTGACATGGAGTCACTACCAGACCATTTAAAGCTGAAAGTGCAGAATCTGAATGCAAAAGGCACATTAATGACACATGTATGACCCATTTATCATTGTTATAATTATTATTCAACCATCATAAGTGAGGGTGTAGGTATAGGATGGCTCCTGATTCCTCCAGTCTTTTTAAGGCTTTGGCTTCGTGATTAAGGTCGTGGTAAGAGTTCTGTAAGAGACACAGGAATGCTGAAATGAACAAAAAAGAATGAATAAAACTGGTCCTGATGTATGATAGATGACTTGATTACCTTCATGGATTTCATAGTCTCCCTTCCATAGTAGTGGATGGGCTGCCGGTGGTTTTTTGAACTGGGATATCCAAATCCAGCGACGTGAACCACGTCACAGTAGTTCAGAGCAACAAAGATGGAGAGGAGCCCAGTGGTGGGGTGCACTGGATTCTGCAAGCAACACCAGAATGTGACACTTTAGGACAATTTCATGTTATTTTTAACTATTTCAAGTGATGACAATAATAAAAGATTAGCTGCAGTTGTGAGCACGTAGAAAAACAGCTGCATCTCTGATGTGAAGGATCATTTCAAAAGGCCTATCTTGTGGCCACTAGATGGCAGTAGAGTAAAACAAAACTTGCAATGCAGGACATCTAACATCAACTCCTTAGAGTTTGGGGTAGCAGCCTCTGCAGCAGGACTCAAAGAAACAACTTCATTCCCCAGGACAGTCAAGCTTCTGAACGCTCAAAAAGCAGCAGAAAAGTAAAAATGTTGGACTAAATTACACCAACCTGTGCATGGACATAATTTTTTTGGAGGGACAGGGGGGACATGTCCCCCCCACTTTTTCCAAAGTCAAGTGTTGACTCCTGCACTTTTTACCATCCAAAAACAATATTACGCTATATTAAATTGACACTGGTTGAGCTCTAGGACCAAGCAGAAAACAACAGTTTGTGTTGGAGCCTGTTTCCCATTAGAACATACTGTAAAGACCCCCCCCCCCCCTCCAAAGTGAAAATTACGTCCATGAACCTGTGTGTGTGTGTTTTTAAATTAAACTGGGTAACTACTGATCAAAGTCCAGCAAAATGATTAAATTCCAGTGCAGAAAGGGAGGTCCTCTGAAAGCTTGAAGATTGCTCTGACCTTGTGGAGGGTAAGGGTGGTGCAGTCTTTTCTTTGATGAGTCAAATATCTCTAAGGGTGACTCACCCAGTAATTCAGTCAGTGGTTACAGAAGAACCACGCTGCAAGTTAAAAAAATAACAGCATGCATGCCCATCCCTGAGATCAAGCAGATGGAGTAACAGCTTTCACTATAACACCACTACTCCCTCACACTGCTGCTTCTGTCAGTCACTACCACTAGTGCTGCATCTGACGCTGACTTGATTCAGGCTTTCCTGCAGAGAGCTGCACTTCCTGTCAACTAGCAGTGTGACACAGACACACCCTTTACAACAACTGTCAAAACATCCGCCTTTAATTACACAACACACTCACTAAGAGTGAGAGGCAACATGGAGTTACTAAATGTCAGAGAATCCATTCACTTTCACAATCAGGTTGTGTTACGACCAGACAACTACAGCACTGGTGCTTAAAGAGGTCAAACTCGCCTTTTTGGGGTTATCTTGTGTCAGATTTACTGTTTTATTCTCTTGTGAGAGTTTAAAAACCACAACCAGATGGTGTGAGGAAGAGTCTGGGGGGGGGGGGTTTAAAGGTTTACTGGTCCAGAAACACAACCAGAAGCAGCGTGTTTCAATATTGACTGAAGCTTTCTACCTACTAGTAGCACAAGGTCCTAAAGTAGCAGACCTGCCCATGATTAGGAGCTTTTACACTCACCAACCACACCCAGCTTCAGCCTCGGGATTCCTTTAAACGCTCTTCACTAAACAATCTGACATCCGTAAAGGGAACTCGTATTAAAGCAACGAGTGACCAGGATAAATGCTGCCAATGCTGGGATTTAAACACAAGTCATCCCAAACACAGTTTTAACTAGAAGAAATGAGCCCAAGAGATGGACTCATCTTTTTGATGTTAGAAAGATCTATATGTGAATGATGGAGGTGTAAAGAAATTTGGCTGGCAGGGGTATTTAAATAAAAATTAATAACAGCGATAAAAATAACTAGATTAAGATACAAGCAACAATAATCCTCCCAGAGTTTAATCTGCATTTGTAATATTAAAAATAATAAATTGACCTTATTTAAGAAAAGAGACGCCATGTTCTGTTCAGCCTCTTTGGTAATACCTGTTTTGTCCCTGGTCAAATCCTGCTTTACAGTTAAACCAGCTGTGGTCCAAAACAAACAAGTCCAGTTAGACCCTGGCTGATTGATTCAACACATCATTTATGTGCTGATTTCATTAATACGGTTATTAACTGTTCTGTTAAAATGTGTCCAAAAGTGAAGACGACTATGGGACTTTAACTTTAACAGGCGATTTCAGCCCTATGTTGTTATTAAAAGGCAAAGTTTGGTGAAAAAGTCCAAGAGGATGAAGTCAATTTTATTTTTGGAACTATAAAGTGTTAGACAATGTTATCAGATAAGGGCATCTTTATTTACTTGTGATAACACTTTTAGGAGAATTAGAAGGTTGACATGTTGTTTGCCCCTGGCTGGCTCTTTCTCTGCAGAGAATTCCTTGAGTTATTCATCCTTTTCCGGTTAACTTTGTCCGTGAGATTCAGAAGCAAGGTGAAGAATCTTCTCTGTTTCTGGAGATAAAAGAAAAGTTCTCCACCCTTTAGACAATACACTTTCCCACCTATCTTATCATGTCTTTTCCTCCTGCTGCTTCTTGTGTTTGCAGATGGCTTTTGTCCAGCACCTTGTTTGTGCACGTGGACGTATTTAAAGTGACCTCTACCTCTCATGTTACCACTAGCTAGAGTTAGCTGCGTGCTAAACACCATTGGTGTTTTTACTGGTCCTCTCGTTGATGCTGCAGAGACAAAGGCATTTATAGATGTTTGTCAGTCAAAATAAATAAATAAATAAATACAGCTTACTAGAAGCTCCTGGGTTCACATAAATAATCTGTCAGCTTAACATTTTGAACATAAGCTAATCTGCCTTGCAACATGTTGAAATATATACAGTTATATGCAAAAACGTTACTACCAAAGGTCAAAGTGATTCACCCGTGAACAGTTCGTAAGAAGCCATTTTCATACTGATGTAGGGGTTGTTGATGTTTACCGCATAACTCATTTCTAAAATAAAACAACAACAAACCCAAATATTATTTTAGTTTTGTCCACACCACAATCACCAGCATATCGCCACCCCACCCAACGAGGACCGTTATCAAACAAGCCACCAGTTTGCTTTAACGTAAACAAACAGCAGCAGTTGAACCAGGATGTCGGGTTTAATTCGCTCGCTTTTCTTTAGGAGAAACTCGTGTGTGGTGATACTGTGGTGTTGTGTGTGTAAAAGAGGAATTTCAGAAAGGAAAAAAAAAGAAAAGCGAAGTTGTTGCATGAGTGACGTTATGTCCAGTGAAAGTGAATGTGTTGGGAGGGAACCTACTTTTACTGGCAGTGTGGTTACTCCCGCGTGGGAAGAGGGTGAGTGTGTTGTACTGTCAGCAATTGTTTTAGTATGTTTTTGGTGGACGAGGAACAGAAAAGAGGAAAGGTAACTAAATTACACTTTTGAACTAAATGACGCTGCAAAACCTTACTTTAACCCCAAATTTCCCAACACTCCAATTCCTAACCTTCCTGCTCCTTCAGCCTGCCCACATCCTGTTCACCCCTGACCCGTTCCATTCAGCGTGTGCTGATGGTGCAGAGACCCTGTTGGGTAAGCCCGCTGGTCGTCTTGGACCAATTGCGTTGGTACCTCGGTCCAAAATCTAGCATCTCTAATACGGTTTGACAAAATGGACTCAAGAGAGCAGACTAACAAGAACCAAAACAAACCGTGGTATGGATCCAGCAGCAGGGAGGAACCACACAAACCTTGATTGGCAAATAGGATGCAATGGTGCAAAATAAAGTGTGGTTCCAAAAGAGGAAAATAAAATCTATTTTCTGTTGGAATGGCTGAAAATGTATGACAAACACTTCAGCATGTGTCACAACTGTGTATCCGTGTTCCTGCTTGGTCTGAAAACACCTATTTGTACATTTGCTATTATGTTAATGTCATCAAAACCACAATGAAACTCCTACGACACACGCAAGGAAAGATTAACAGAACAGGAAAATCAGCAAAAAGGAAAAATAAAACAGGATCCAAGTGTTTACATTTACCAGAGAACAAAGCAGATCTCAGCTTAGAAAGAGAAAAAAAAACGTGGCAACTTGTTGAAATTTAAACAGTTTTAGGCTTTTCTCCAACAGCTAATTATCCAGGGATGTGCTGTGAAGCGCTAGAAGATGTGTGAGAGTTATCTTTGATAATTAGGCAGAAGCTAAACTTTGTCGTGTTCTCTTGTAACTGAACCTCCCCAAAACAAAACTAAGTCAACGACATTTTAAATGATGTGCCTTTTCAAATAAAGTTCACGTTAAACTCGAGATTTGGCTAATCAGTGGATAATCCATTCAGGTTTGTTAGCATTCATGTGGGAAGCAGAGATGGACAGGCGTGGAAAACAGCGAGGAAGGGCAGAAAAGGAATAAACAAGAACAAAATTCTTGAGGGAGATTTGAAATGAATGGTGCAAAGAAACAGACCCAAGATTAGACGAGTGCACTCGGAGACAAAAGCACATTTGCACTTCTAAAAATGTTTCAACAAGTGCAGCGTTGTTTCTTTTGACCGTTTATGTGGAAGCAGCCCCTCACCTGTTTTCCCTTTGGTGGAAGAAGGTGGAGAAGTTTGTCTGCAGTCTGATGCAAAAAGTGAGGGTCCAGCACTCTGATTTTATTCACATCACCCAGCCAGATTTGGGGTGGAGGCTTCCAAAAGCCCTTTCTGACCTTAGGGAGAGAGAGGAGAGAGAGAGGGAGAGAGACGAGAGAGAGAGAGAGAGAGAGAGAGAGAGAGAGAGAGAGAGAGAGAGAGAGAGAGAGAGAGAATGAGAGAGAGAGGAGAGAGAGAGAGAGAATGAGAGAGAGAGAGAGAGAAAGAGAGAGAGAGAATGAGAGAGAGAGGAGAGAGAGAGAGAGAATGAGAGAGAGAGAGAGAGAGAAAGAGAGAGAGAGAGAATGAGAGAGAGAGAGAGGAGAGAGAGAGAGGAGAGAGAGAGAGAGAATGAGAGAGAGAGAGGAGAGAGAGAGAGAGGAGAGAGAGAGGAGAGAGAGAGAGAGAGAATGAGAGAGAGAGGAGAGAGAGAGAGAATGAGAGAGAGAGAGGAGAGAGAGAGAGAGAATGAGAGAGAGAGAGGAGAGAGAGAGAGAGGAGAGAGAGAGAGAGGAGAGAGAGAGGAGAGAGAGAGAGAGAGAGAGAGAGAGGAGAGAGAGAGAGGAGAGAGAGAGAGAGAATGAGAGAGAGAGAGGAGAGAGAGAGGAGAGAGAGAGAGAGGAGAGAGAGAGAGAGAGAGAGAGAATGAGAGAGAGAGGAGAGAGAGAGAGAGAGAATGAGAGAGAGAGAGGAGAGAGAGAGAGAGGAGAGAGAGAGAGAGAGAGAGAGAGAGAGAGAGAGAGAGAAGCCCGGAAGTTAGGGAAGTAAAAAGAACAAAAGGACAATCAGGGAGGAAATCCTATTTTTGGTTGGCAGGAGGAGCTAATTTTAGTAAACTGAGATCCAATTGAACCTTTGACTCACTCGTGTCTGGAGGCATCTAAATCGATGTGCAAATTAGCAGGTAATGACCTCGCAACTATTAGCTGTGGAAGTCCGGAGATGCCGGGAGCAACAGAATGAAGGATGGCTGCCGTGGAAACTACATTTAAGTCTAAATGGTGGTGGCTTTGTGGAGCCTGAGCCTTTAAGTGTTTGTTACCAAGATGGAAAACTGGAATGGGCTGGAGAAGGAACTAAACAAATGTGCTAAAGCGCGTGTGTGTGTGTGTGTGTGTGTGTGTGTGTGTGTGTGTGCGTGCGTGCGTGTGTGTGTGAGAGAGAGCGAGAGAGAGAGAGAGAGCTTTCTCACACATATCCCGTACCCTCTTCTCGTTATAAAGGATCTCTTTGAGCCAACGTAGATCATGCATTTTGAACGGCACCAGGACCATAAGCGTGTCCGGCTCATTCTGCAGTCCGGGGTTGTAGGAGGCCGACTCGGGGTAGAAGAACCTCATGGTGGTCTTGTTCCCCACATCCTCCTCGTAGCCCTTCACTGGGGCATCATTTAACCTGAAACAAGAGCAGGAATCCACATTCAAACCACCTCCTGGTATTGTGAAATAATTTGATGCATTTTCACAGGGCTTTGAGTAGAATTTTCTTTTATGGTTTAGCTAAAGACTCGTTTTGAATGCACTGCTAAGCATTCATTTAAAGGTAAACTAAAGAACCTGTCACGTTCATAAATCATCTGTGTTAAAGCAAGCCTAAACTGCCTTGGTAGGAGTTTTGTGTTAAAGGAATGGTTCTGTATTTTTCTACTCTGAGTAAAAAGCTTTCAGAATGACCTTTCAGCCTCTAAACTCACACGTGACTGGCCACTTGTGTAAAAAAAGGCCTGTTAGCAGGTGGATAGTAACCATTTGTGCTTCTCTAAACAGAGCATTCAAAGACTCCCTACAGCAACTAATATCATTTCCTTTCTTGCAGACACTCTTCAAACAGCATTCCTTTAATGTCTGATGAGGCCACTCAAGGTTCAGTCTAACATGGTTTTATCTGATGCTTGATGATTTCTGTTTGTTTTAGGGATAGAAACTCTCATCAGCACTGATTTGGGGGGCTTCGTTTTATCTCCCGTCTCTTTCAGCTGCCTCATTCCAAAGGCCACTTTACTTTGATGGGTCAGCTAATTTTACTCTGATAGCAGACCCATCACAACTACTGTGATAATCTCCCAAATAGTAATGGTAATATTTTTATCTGAATACTAAAATAGGTATTTTAAATAAATCATTTCATCCGACAGGAGAAAATGGAAGATATTCCGCTTTGAATTTTAAGATTCTGTTTGTGTTGTGTTGTGAAAGTGTTTAGCAACAACAATCAATGCGATCTAACCAGGAAAGTTTATTGATTAGACAAAAATTAAATGGTTCTGGTATCACAAGGATTATTTAGTGCATCCTAGCTGTAGTCTAAATAGTCTAAAACCTGGATGGTATCCATAAACAATTAAAAGTTTTACAAGTCACTCATCACTGATTTTGTGGACTGGTGTAGCATAACCACCTTCATGTTTACCATGTTTACACCAGTAAACATCCAGGGAGCAGACATTGAGGTGGTGAATACCTTTATGTACCTGGGTGTTAACAGCAAACTGAACTGGTCAGTTTATATATGTATATATATATATATGTATATATATATATATATATATATATACATATATATATATATATATATATATATATATATATATATATATATATATATATATATATATATATTAGTGTGAAAACCTATTTGCCCCCTTCCTGATTTCTTATTCTTTTGCATGTTTGCCACACAAAATGTTTCTGATCATCAAACACATTTAACCGTTAGTCAAAGATAACACAAGTAAACAAAAAATGCAGTTTTGAAATAATGTTTTTTATTATTTAGGGAGAGAACAAAATCCAAACCTACATTGCCCTGTGTGAAAACGTAATTGCCCCCTGAACCTTTGTTTTTATGTTTTCTCTTCTAATTATTCTCCAAGTGTTGCTGCTGCTGTAACAAGTGAATTTCCTCACTGTGGGATCAATAAAGTTGCTTCTATTCTATTCTATTCTATTCTATTATAAACATCACTGTAGCCTGTTTCATTTTCATTAGACTAAATATTTAAGCATTAAAACCCACGTCTCCTTCAAAAAACAGATTATCACCTGAGAATCTGTAAAATTCTTGCACTTCTCCAATAAGTGAACACAAAAACAGGCTGAGACCGGATTTGGTAAAAATGATTAGTTTGCTCTTTGGAAACTTAAGTCTCCACCGGCTTTTCAAGTCTAGTTGTGTTTCTTCGACTGAATCAGCTCGATGGCGTCAAACTTGCAGGCATGCCCTGAATTCTGAATGTCAATAACCTTAGTCTGCTCGGCCAGGAGTCCATTAGCTTTTGAGAAGGAGAGAAGAGGGGGAGAAGGAGGAGGAGGAAGGTGGAGGCTTTTGAGGGCAGAAAAATGCATTGTGTTCAGGCCAAATTCTTCTAGCTTAAAAGAAGTTTATAAAAAGTCCAACAGCGTGTGTGCATTCCAAGGCTGTAAAGTTAGATTAGCAAACAGCCTTTGTATCTGAGCAAACTAAATGCTCTTGTCTCTTTTTGACCCCAACCTTTCCTAATTGCTGGAAGGCCATCTGTGTAGGGTCAATGTATACCCTCCTTAAATTAGCTGAGGAGACAAATGGTTTGTTTTTAATTCTGAAGTGAAAATAAAAAGAGAAAGGAAGGAAAAAATGGGTTTCCTTACGGTTAATCTCACTGTTATTCCTCCAAACTAAATGCATTTAACATGAAATACAGCAGCAAGTGAAAGTTATCTAGGTCTGAGTTAAAGGGGAAAAAAACATGATTTTCATTTTAGAAAGTCCCAAAACAGCCCAGAATGTACATCAGTTGGGTCATTGTGTGATGAGCTGCCAGAAGATAAAAGGAAAAACCAAAGGCTCGCTGAAATGAACCGGCTGCTGACTCCCGTTTATCTTGGACAGTATTCGCTTTTTATTGCGATCAAAGCCGCGCTTGTTAGGCTTTTTTGACAAGCTGCTCCAAAAAGTGACCGTCACTTACAGTCCCCGTGAACTGTCAGTTGATCTGAGCTCCATCTCTACCAGAGAGAAACTCCTGGAGCTCTGCATCGCTCCAGTTTGTCATCTCGACTGATTCTGTTTACAAAACCTATACTTACTGACGTGCTTACCTTCATTTTCAATATAGTTTCCAGCCGGACCTCGGCAGTAATTTCCCACATGATCGTGACACCTCCCTCTGTTGTGACAAGGTGTATTCACAAGTCCGGCGTTGCAGCAAGATTCACCATGCTGCCACGGGACGTTCATAAGACACTGATTTGCAGGCATGGTGTTGTCAGGTACTGGGTTTGTGGGTTCACATTTCCTCTTCACAGGTTGTTGGAGGGCTAGGGAGACTCATAAGGAGACTCCATCCAGCTAATTACCTCGGCTGCAGAGTCACCCTGCTCACCTACAGCCCATCATGTAATTAGACGGGAGGAATAAAGGAGCCAGTGAACCAGCCACTCAGCGCCAGATTGTTTGCCTTAGTGGTAACGTCCAGCCACCTGAATCTGTTCCTGTTATCCGATCTTATTCTAGTCTGTTCCCTGAAACCTCTGTCTGTCATCACAGGATTCCTAGAACCCGTTCTGGATTACACCTTTGTATGGAAGTCTCATACCAGCCTCTGCAGCTCCCGGATCTCCTGAACCACGGCTGAATCCTCCCTGGCTCTGTTCTCCTCCAGTGCGTCTCCTGTTCACCCTCCAACAACCCGCCTCACTTCTCCGAACCTCCACATCTACCCACAGCCCCGGTACCGGCTCACCTCTCCCACGCTCCGCTACAACCAAATCTCAGTAAGAACTCTCCCCACTATCTACATAAATATCTCCCCGTCCCGATCATCATTTCATGTGTTATTTCTTCCAGTGATCCAATCTCTAGCTCCGGAACCAGCCCATCCCTGCCAGCCTCCGCTCACCTCTAATAAACTATTTTTTACTACATCTCCTGGTCTCTTGAGAATCATCTTGTATGTGGGTCAAATATCTAAATAGAGAAAAAACCATGACCGGTGTGTCTTCTGAAAAGGGCTACTTTTTGTTTTTCTTTTCTCTTTTACAGATTTGACCTCACCAATATTTACAGGTCCTATCAGTAAATGTAGTAATTGTCCCAGGCATTTTGTGCGTGCCAGCCCTCTTCTTGCTTTCACAGCGATCGGAGGTGCACTGAAACCCCCTCCTCCACAACAATCAGAGGCCCGCTGCATGTGTGCGTTAGCAGTTAGCTGTTTTTTTAGCGGCTTGGGGGGCCTGCGGGTACAGTCTGAAAGTCATTCCCTGAAACTCATCAGCTAATGGTTAACACTGTACAAATACATTTAGACCAGACAGATGGAGGAAGAGTTAGTACAAATAGGCACTGCTGTAAAGACAGCTTTGTTGAGGAGTACTTTCTTCTCTGTCTTGTAGGGTGACTAATCAACATTGTTTCCCATGTGGGTATGTCCTCCCTTGCATTGTGTGTTTAGGTTAAAGAGGAAGCCGGCCTCAAATGCAGCTCTTAAATAGGAAGCGAGCTGGCAGCAGCAAGTTTATTTTAATGGCTGTTAATGAGAAGAAAACCAAATGACATGTCGGCCATTTCAGCCCAAGAGGCTTTAGAAAAAGCAGACCCGAACTTGAATGAAAGCTGTTCTTGAACCATGTGGACTAGAGGCATGGTTGAGGAGTCTTTTTGAAGTAAACACTCAGAGGTTTCCCCCACAATAGTGAAAATGTATGTAAGTGATACTGTCATAGAGTAATATGGGCTTTAATGCCCAGAAAAATGTCAATTTTGATGGCCGCTTATTCATGTTTTTTTAATACATGCTTTGAAAATAACATCAGCAATGAGATATGGACAGGAAAACATTATGTGTCAATAACCTGAAGTCTTTTCTTGTCCTACACCAATAAAGCTAAAAATGAGAATTTGGCAAGTATTTTTATAAGATAAGGTCCAGACATGTCCAATGTGTGCTAAGAGTGTGCCTTTTGGAGACCAATGTGGCACACTTAGGAAAAAAGTATGTTATTTTTGAAAGCATCAACATAAAATCATAGTCTTGGGCTCTAATGAAAGATTACAAATGGGACTGTCCTATCCCACATCCAGATCCACTCTCAGTATTACTTACAAAGAGTAAAGGAGGCACACACTGATGTGTGTAGCGCTCACATGGCGATGTGTAACCCTCCAACTGTTGCTGTGAGAAAGTTAGTTTGCGCTCACACTTTGCTTTTGTTTAGAAAAGCCGACCCCCACATTCTTTTCAGAATTTAATTGGCTCTTTGATACTTCACTCACCAACAAACTGCTTCGTGATAGGGTCAAACTACAAAAATCTCAATAGATGTAGGGACTTAATAGTCATCAGCCAATAGTAAAAGATGTCAATCAAAAGCTTAGCCATCATGTTTCATTGTGTAAATGTTTAAAGCAAACACGGGGAAGCTAACGGCCGTTATGAACAAAACATGATGAAAAACAGATGTATTTGAAAGAACATTGGGACGCTTCCAGCAGGACATTATGTTGGATTGTGGACATGAGACTTGTTGTTGACTAAATATTCTACTGGAGTACTTTTAATGGACCCTTCTGGATAAAAAAGTTCTGTGAAGTTATGGAGGGCAATAAATTGCCTTGTTTATTGAGAAAAGGCTGAGTCATGATCCTTCCTTCTCCACACACTCCTCTCAGCATAACATACATGACTTTATAAAAATTTGAACCACGCGTGATCTTTGCTTACCTGATAACGACATCATATTTATTGATGATGTCACCCAAAGAGCTGTTTTTAATGACAAAGCCATTACCGATCACCACACAGGTTCTGCATTCAAGGCTGTGGAGAAAATGACAAATTATCTGTAAAAACATTTGCTGCAATAACTGTGTAAATACAGAAATGTGTATAGGAACAAGTTACTAAAGCAACTACATGAATACAGTCTTGTAAGAAATTACTTAAATGGCCAAATATACTAGTTTTATCTATCTTTTTTTTTTTTTTTTTTTTTTACCGTGTCCTGTCTGGCTGTGAAGCAAGCAGAATTGATGTCTGAATGCTGGTAACAAGCCTTACAGATTTACTCTCAGGTGGAGCATCAAAGCGTTTGCTTTTAATGTCACGCCTGATACTTAAAACTTTATTGTTATTGTTTTTGAATGCTTTGTATTTCCGACCAGACACGGAGACAGAGGTGAAAGAGAAAGGAAAAGAAAAGGTGGGGAGGGGAAGGGGGGGGTCCACAAAAATAAACAATAATGAACAAGAGTCTGCTTCTAGACCTGCAGAAAAAGACAAAAAAAAAGCAAAAGGGCAAAAAAATGGGACACAACAACAATACAACAAGATCTAGCTATCACTGCGTCAAATTGATGAAGAAATATATAATCAACATTGCTTAACTGAAGAATCACGATAATAAATCACAGTGCATTAAGTGCCCACCATAGTCTTAAGACCTGTGTTTAACGTGCCCAAGTCCATACTTTTGAGAGCACCATGTGAGCACCTGTGTGTGTACACGCGCTTGTTTATGGAAGGTTTCTCTATAGGAGCATCCAATAGAGTGTGAGGGACCACAGATCCGCCCCCCAAAGATGCGCAGGAGACGGGGGGAGCTCCAAGTCTCAAAGATCCAGGCGCTGCCCCAGAGCACAGGAACCCCAAGGAGACTGCAACCAGGAAGGCCCCCGCCCCCCTCGAGAGGCACAGAGGATCGCCCCGGGGGGGCCACAACCAACAGCCGGCAGAGTCCCGGGAGACATCAGCGGCCAGCCCACAGGCCCAACCGCAGCCTCCAACCCCCTAGCCGGCCGAGCCCGGGACCCAGCGACCCGGGACCCAGGGGGGACCACCCCCGCCGGGGACCCAGCAGAGCCCAGGGACCCAGACCCCACCAGGCAGCCACCGGGATCTATCAGGCAGATGCCAAAATCTTAAACCCTCAGACCCGGTTGCCACGAACACTCAGGCAGACCGAGGCACAACCCCTAACACCAGGTGTGGCCGGGGGGGGGTGAAGATCTATATCATCAAAAGAAGTTCCAGGAGAGGGGAGGAGTCAAAGGCCCCACCTGACATATACAGTCATACACAAACGCAGTCACACACTCCCTCCCTCATGCTCACACATGCACATACAACCCAAGACTAACCCTAACCCTAACCCAACCATCACCGGTAACCAGAGTTTGACCCTTTCTGCTGGGGTTCTGATGAGCAGGCTCCCCCGCCCAACGCTAAGCACAGCAACCTACCACCCCAGACCCCAACCAGACGGCCAGATCTCCCTCCTAGCCCCCAGCCCCAGGAAGCCAAGCAACAACAGAGGTGGCAAAGACCCCTAGTCTCCCTCCGCCTGCTCCAATATAGTGTTGTGTGATCATGAGGTTTATTCCATGGCTGTGGTGAGCGGGCAGTGCGGGCATCATCCGGTCTATGCCAGCTGACGCCACCACACCACCCCACTTACACCCTCAGCCCTCGGTGTCTAAGTGCGGTTTAAAATTGGAAGTGGGCACCGGCACCCGGGAGGAGGCTGAGATATCCCCCTGCCAAATGCCGCTGAATGTGCTCACTCCCAAGGCCTTAAGTGTGTGTTTGTGTGGAATGTCGTCAGTGGAAGTGTATACGGTGCAAATAAAATTGGGGGGCAGGTTGCCACAGGAATGCGGAAATGGGGTCCATACCTGCACTCCCTGACTTGCCCACCCCCCAAGGTCCTATGTGTATGTTTGTGTGATGGTGTGAGGGAGCAGGAGGAGAGAAATATGCGGGGATGGGGAGGAATGGCTGGTTGGGCTTAGTCCTCCAGGGAGCCAGCTCCCCTACTGGCCCCAATAGGCACCTCTGTTGTCAAACTGCCACCCAGGGCATGGAGACCCCAGCCCATCCTGCCAGGGCCCAAAGCAGCAGCATTACAGAGCCTCACGGAGTCCGAGGGCACCAACCCAGCCCCACCCCAGCAGAATATCTATGCCAATCCCTGCATTTGCACACCTTCCAGAATATACAAGACATGGGACATCCAGGTAAGGTTGGGTCCTCCCCCTCCTGGACCTCCCCCTCCCCTGTGATGGAACGGCAGAGGAGCCAAGGTCTTCCTGAGGCCCCCGAACCCGGGCCAGGCACTGCTGCATGTTCCTGCCTTCTTCCCGGCAGCATACATGTCAGGACCCGACCCCCAAGGCCCCGCCCAGATCCCCACTCGGGGCCGGCCACCCCCAAACCCCGAGCCCCCAGGCCCCCACCCAGACCCGCCCAGGGGCAATGCAGCTGCCAGGCAGTGACCCATAGTTGCCGCCAAGATCCCCACGGGCCCCCCTCACAACCGCCAGTAGTCCACCCCCCGAGGCAACCCAAACACCTCCAGAGGGGGGCAACGGCAAAATATCAGGATTATTCCAGGTAGGTGTGCGTCTGCATGGTACTAGTGAAGACTCTGTCATTTTAAGATACTCCCACCATGCTGTCAGAGAGGTGCTGATACTAATACGTTTGAAGCCTTCATGTTTTCTTATGCTTGAGCTAATAAATGGTAAGTCTGAAAGCTCTATCGTATTGCAAAGTGTCTGTTCTATATCTAACCAGGACTCATCTAGTGGGTTATCTTGCAGCCATCTTGGTATATATTGCAGCCTGTTGGCTAAGAAATAATAATAAAAGTTGGGTAAATCCAGTCCTCCTCTGTCTTTGGTCTTCTGAAGCATTTTTAAGCTAATTCGTGGAGGTTTATCCTGCCAAAGGAATTTGGTAATTGAGGAGTCCAGAGATCTAAACCAGTCAGCTGGTGGTTTGTTTGGGATCATTGAAAATAAGTAATTTATTCTGGGTAAGACCATCATTTTAATTGTAGCAACTCTCCCCATGAGTGATATTGGTAAGGATTTCCATCTTGCAAGATCATCTTCCACTTTCTTTAAAAGTGGGATGTAGTTTAGTTTGCTTAGATCTGCTAACTTCGGAGAGACATTAATTCCCAGGTATGTGATGTTCCCTGACTCCAATTGTGTATCAAGTAAATTGACAAAAGAGAAATTAATTGGTAGAACTGTGGATTTTAACCAGTTTATAGAGTAATCTGAAACTTGTGAAAAAGAGTTTATCAGTTCTATTGAATGAGAGAGACGATTGAGAATTCCGGAGAAAGAGTAAAACATCATCTGCATAAAGACTTATCTTATGTTCTATTTTCTTACACTTTATCCCTTTAATACCTCTTGTTTGCCTAATTGCTGCCGCTAGTGGTTCTATAAAGATAGCAAACAGTGAGGGGGAGAGTGGGCATCCCTGCCTCCCCCTCTGAAGACAGAAGCTACCTGATATTTGGTCGTTCGTCCTGACATGTGCAGTTGGCGAACTGTATAATGTTTGTAGCCAGTTTATGAAGAAGTTCCCAAAGCCAAATTTATGTAAAGTTGCAAATAAGAACTTCCAGTTAACTCTATCAAAAGCCTTTTCTGCATCTAGAGATAATATACTAGTTTCTATGTTTCTACTGTAAGAGAAATCTATCAAATTAAGTAATCTACGTGAGTTTGTGGATGACTGTCTACCTTAATGAAACCAGTTTGGTCAGGGTGTATTATGAAGGGGGTTACCTTCTCTAATCTTTTTGCCAGGGCTTTACAAATTATTTTGAGATCAACATTAATAAGAGAAATTGGGCGATAGCTGGTAGGAAATGCTGGGTCTTTGCCTGGTTTTAACAAGAGACTAATATTGGCTGAGTTCATGTTTGGCTGTAATCTGCCGCTCTCTTCGATTTCCCTCACCACTCTGAAAAATATTGGAGCCAGAATGATCCAGAAATCTTTGTAGAACTCTGCTGGAAACCCGTCTGAACCTGGAGCTTTCCTATTTGTCATGGATTTAAGGGCTTCCTGGAGCTCCGCTGAGGTTAGTGGCGAGTCCAGGACTGTAACTTGGCTGTCTGATAATTTAGGAAGTGTTATCCTGCCAAGGAACTCATCGATCTCGTTATCTGATGGGTTTATCTGTGGTGAGTACAAAGTTTGGTAAAAGTCTCTGAAAGTGTAGTTTATTCTTTCAGGGCCATAAACTATATTCCCGGTTGAGTCTTTAACAGCAGATATGGTAGTTTTCTGCATTAGTTCCAGTCTAATAACCCTTGATACGTCGAGAGGAGCCAGTTGAGGTGGCCTCTTGGATGCCTCCTTGGTGAGGTTTTCCGGGCACGTCCAGCTGGGACAAGACCTAAAGGGCGACCCAGGATGCATAGGAGGGACTATGTCTTTCACCTGGCCAGGGAATGCCTTGAGATTCCCCCGGAAGAGCTGGCTCAAGTAGCTAGAGAGAGAGAAGTCTGGGTCTCTCGCTGCTGCCCTGGCGACCCGACACAGGATAAACGGAAGAAAATGGATGGATGGTACCAATATGTGGTTTCCTCATCATTATTATTATTATTATTGTTGTTGTTGTTGTTGTTGAACATTAAAAAAATTGTGCTTGACAAGCTGCTTATGATTTTTATCTTGAAAGGCGGTAAATAAAAAAACTCCTCTTCTTCTAAATGCATCTGAAAGCGAGAAGTTTTGATTGCACCTTGCTTGATGATTCACTTACTTTTCGAGGTTAGCGGGCATCTGATAATTTGCAGTTATGGCGAGAACTTTGAGGAGCAGGAACTCTGAGAGAGAAGAGAAAATCAATCTTTTTACATCTGAATCAGCTTTATTGGCCAAGATCAATTAAGGAATTATGCTTTGGTTTCACACACTCGCATCTTATGATTAATATGGATAACTAAAACAATAGGAAACAAGAAAAAACAAAAGAAGAAAAAAAAGTTTTCTTTTTTAAAATGTAACAAGAAAAGCCAAAAAGGGTGGGTTGAGTTAGTGCAGTGCACTCGTTACATCGTAGAGTCTGTCTTGGGCCATTCCCATCTGTACCGGGTCGGCCCGGGCCGGGTAGCGTAGGTTGTTTACATATCTGGGTGGCCTGGTATTTTTCCGGGCCAACCAAGGCCCATTCTCAGCCCTCTTCTTGAGGGGGTCTGCTTCAGGCCGACCAGGGCCAACACACCCACTGCTGACAGTAAATTCACACCTTCCATTAGAGCAAGCCTCTGATTGGTGGGTAGAATCAGCCCACATGGCCTTAAGGCAAGGATGTGTGGAATCAACCGGGCCAGGCTGGGGCCGACCGGTGCTACCCGGCTGTTCATCAGAGAGAGAGAGACTGGGGCAAGAGGCTATCTGTGTGGTGGCTGGTTGCTAATGGAAACGCTCTGCAGCACCAACTGTAAAAGATTCAAAAGTGTGCAGGGTGTGTCTCCCCCGGGGACGTCCACCAATGCGAAGAAGTCATGCATGACACAGAGGAATGTTTCACCCAAAAGTTCTGCTCACTCCTCAAGCTCTGAACCAAGAACAGGGAAATAATCAGAGCCACATGGTGCCAAAACATTTACATGCTGACCTGTAGTGTGAGTGTAGCTTCCTAATGGCCCACCACACACACACACACACACACACACACACACACACACACACACACACACACACACACACACACACATACAACACCCAGACAATCCATTACAGGTCTAAGTTCCTGATCTTGATAAATTTAAACCAGCCAGAGAAGTTAAACCTGAGTGGCGTGGATCCCGCCTGTTAAAGTCAATGCTGGTGTGGGCGAGAATGGTGCCAGAGGTAAAGGAAGTTGGCTGTGCAGCGAGGGGGTCAAGCCCCCACAATGTGGCTCAAAAATTGAGCCCAACCCGGAAGTACCAAAAATTGCAGTTCCACCCTCATCCGCTGGGGGCTGGTACCAGAAGCGAGCAAATCCTCATTGACTCCCATGTTAAAAATACCAATTTCACAGCAGAAATAAACATGTTTACAGCCTGGTACCAAAACATGTTTTTGGTTTAAATTATCTAGTTTACACTCATGACAACTCTGAGGGGGTTGAATTTTTTTATCACTCTTCTGTTTAAGTGTATTAAAAGCCTAAAATTCTGTATAATTTATAATATTTCTGCGTAGCAAAATAAAGAAAAGAAACCCATTTTTCATGTTCTCTAGTATTTTGTGCTATTCTGCTAACTGATTGCTTCCAAAGATCAGTTGGCCAAGCTGGCAGGTCTCGTTAACTGATTTTCCAATAAAGCTATTGTGGTCTAGTATAAATGAATGCCTTGTGTCTTTTTCTGTGGAAAAAAAAATGCTCTGACAAGGCAGTTTCAGAAGTTTGTCAGAAGTGGACTAGGTCGGTAGAAAAGGACAGGACTACGAGTTTTACTAATTAATATTCAAGATATGTACACATCTTGCCTCTGATTGGCTACCAGCAACATATGCTGCCTTTGTTCACTCTATTTTCTTGGATAAAAATAATGCAGCATTGATGTTTTATCTGCACAAATAACATAAGCCTGAACGTGGTCTGCCATGTTACGGAGCTGCTAATGGTTAGCTTGTACTAGCTGAGATGCGCTCTGCTCTCTCCAAAAGAGCAGTGATCCCGAGAGCTGATTAATATTCAGCATGTTTTACTGTTTTCCCCGCTTATAAACATCTGATTTTAATCAGCATGTGATTTACAGGTCTCTGCAGAGCTTGATGAGCTGCTGAACAGGTGAATCAAGTGTGTTGGATTAGGGAAACAACTAAAACATGCTGGATTGCAGCCCTCAGAGAAGGGAGTTGGGGATCGCTGCAATAGAGCCTTTCCGTGAGCAGTCGCAAGCCAAGGTGGGCGGGGCCATGAATAAGGATATTCTCTGTGACATAAATGAGTCTGGCTTTTTCTGACCTGATCTTTTCCCAATATATTTCCTTTCTGCAGCTGATGCAGGCAACGTGGGTTGAAGGACCCAATGGTATTATAAAAAGAGGACGTATTACACGATTTCTCATTGGATAAGACCTTTAATAATAAAATAAGTTGGTTAAAAAAGGGTGAAGGAGAAGACAAGACAGAAAACAAAGAAGCCAGTCCAAACAGAGGCAGCGTTTGCATGCTTGTGTGTGAGAACCAGAGCAAAAGTACAATATGAATAAAAGTATAAAGTCAACATACCACTGCCCTTAACGCCATAAGGCAACGGCAGCTTTGACCGATGCTCCTTCCAAAAGAAGTCCTTCAGCCTCAGAAAAAGCTGCGTCTGTCTGCTAGAACTGCACGAAATAAGCAAATGTAGCGATTACAACAGAAAAACTACACTGGGTTTCAGGATACAGGACGTATGCTACAGGACGATGTGAGTAAGGCTTGGGGCAGCAAGGAGGAAGAAAACTCGTATGCAAAAACAAAACGCATAATAGCTAATACCTTTTTATCTTTGGTGTCTATAGCAGCACAGTAAAACCGGCTCACACGCTTGACTTCTGTTAACCATTAAAGTAGGTTATCCAGTCTTGGTTAAAGAAAATCTGCCACTTTCATGATGTCATCTAACAGCTATTTTCCTCAAAGGCCCTTTTGAAGCATTTCTCAGCTGAGGAAACTGAAAAAACAAAACCAGTAACATCCAGAGAGTCTTTTCTGTGCTCACTGGCTTCAAACGGCAGCCGTCTGTGAGCTGCTGTCTCTGACACAGAGTCCCTCAGACCACCTTCACCAGCCAGCTCTGCAGGAGACCAGGACCAACTGTGTTTGAAAAGGTTTAATTAAAGAAACATCACAGACTGCCAGAAGAGATTTAAGAACCAGGAACCTCAGAACAAAATGTTTTTTTCTAAGAGTGTCTGTTGAGTGAATAAATGGTGTCTTTGCTCTAATTGACAATAAAACCAAGCTGATGGAAGCTCCACCATCACATTTTGAGGAAAATAAGAAAATGTTTGAAATGATCAGGCAGAGATTGTGTACCTGTAAAGAAGCATATTCATGAGCCAACATTACTTTCTGGTGAAGGCATTCCAGAATAGAAAAATGGAAACTGTTTTCGTATTAACGTCTGCTCTTTCTCACTAGAATAATCCTTTCCTTCATGATGGATAAAAAGAAATCCAAGCCCAGGGAACCTGGGCACCTCGTGTGAAAACACTGGCACACTGTTTTCCTTTAATAACCCACCCACTCCCTTCAGTTTGTGGAAAAAGGAACACACAGACATGCCATTACTCACTTGAAATTAAGGCTCTCCCACTTCTTCTGGGTTAGCCAGCCACCACACAGCGCCTTGCTACTGTTCGGAGACTTGCTGGTGCCTCCATAGCTGGAAGACATGCAAACGCCACAGCTGCCATCAAAACTCATGGCCAATTCTCAGAAAATCTCATGTGCCAAAAACTGGTTGGTCCCAAACCACAAAAAGAAAGTGTGAACGTGGGCATTAGTGAAGGTCTGACCAGCAGCTAAGACCACTGGATGATCAGAGAACTGGGCTCACAGTAACTCAAAACCTTTTGAAAGGTAACAGAAATGGCTCTTTGACCTGAATACCCAAAAAGAAGTGTCAGTGTGTGAAGTTACCTCTGTAGTATGGAGTAGGAACAGTAGTACATGACAAAGGAGATGAAGGAGAGGAGAAATGGGAGAAGCCGAAGGCTCCATGCTGGAGTTTCAAAAAAATATAAAAAGAAAAGAGAACAGAAATTAAAATGGTTCAAATTTGTCTTCAAAATGTTTGAAACCTTCAATTACCTCTCTGCTTGGACCAATCAATCACATTTCTTTTATAAAGCAGATTTTATTTTTAAAACATCAGCCACAAGCGCTCTACATTAACAACAATGCAGATTAAAAGCACAGCCTTCACACACCAATGCTAAATCATAAATTATCACCAACACCAGGGCCATCCCCATGGCAAAATACATTTTAAAGGAAGTCCAAGTTAAAAAGTTCATAAAGATGCTTGAATAAAATACAGCAATAAAAATAATACAGAAAAAAAATGAATTCAAATGAATGACTCAATAAAAATCAGCTCATACAAACTTGGATTGACTGAATAGTGTTTGTTGTTAGCCTGAAGGGCAACCTGCTGGCTTGATTATCATCTGTAGGCCGCTTTGGACAAAGGCGTCTGCTACAAACATAAACAAACTAAATTATTAACCCCTACTTCCCACTGGAAGCACCAGCACCGTGGAATGACAGCGGAACGTTGTCACGATTCCAGCCCTCCACTTTACACCAGACCATAATTAAGACTCCACTTCCCAGCACTCACACATCGGTATTCACCTTTCCATGTCATCACGCTCACCCTATATCAAGAAGTCCACCGCAACAATCGTGGCTCCGTCATCGTTCTGTCCGTGTCCTTAGCATTCCTGTTTCAGGCCAGATAGCAGCGTCTTACGCGGTAGCGTGTTTAATGTTTGTTCAGCCTTTACTTTTTCAGCGCGTCGGCTAACTCGGTCACGCCACGCGCGTAGAGCTCCCACGCTCATTCCACTCTTTAGTTCCCTGGCTGCCGCGGCTCAGCTTCACGCTGGACAACCCAGAGCTTCCACGCTCACCTTATCCACCTGCATCTGAACAGTAAGCCTATCTTTTTATTTTCTGGAACGCCGCCACACACTCACTTCCCTTCTAGGCTTGTGTCGATGTTCCTAGCTTAACTGCGTGTCAGACGTCTCCCATAGCTAGCACTTCCGTGTTTGGGTCTTGTCACACGCCACAGCTCTCTTCACTGCTCACTATGTTGAGCCCAGGTGAAGAGCCTGACAAACGTCACTGCTTCAAACAGAATCCATTATAGTCTATGGGGGGAATTCAAACCAACGGCAATGCAGAATTTTTCAGGCGTGTCCCAGAAGCTCATGATATGATCAGGTTCTGTTTTTACCACGACCCGCTTCTGGGATGTGACAAATTCCGCAGTTAACATAGAGCTAGACAGAAAATTACACAAGGTTTCATGTAAAACCCCTGGTGATTTTCAAAATAAAAGACTATTCCAGCGATGCAATTTCATATCTATGTAGATTAAGTCAATAACTGTGACCTAACGGCTTATTTACTCTGTGCATGGTTCCAGAAGTGCAACAGGGTTTTACATGGCTTTGATCCTGGCAGTGGAGAGGGACAACATCATATATGACATCAAATATTGGTTTAATGGCAGATGGCATAAACTCGAGGGATTATGTGATGTCGCCAGTCCAGCGAGGAGCACATCAGAGATCCTCCCGGTGTTTACTGGACCGCAGCGAAAGTCACGAGCAAACCGCTCCGCTCCGCTGATGCTTCCAGTGTGACGTAGGGGCAAACGACGTTAAGCTGAAGATGTACATCTTGAGGCTCTTTTTACAAATGAAATGGACATACCGACAGGCTGTATATTTATACTGCTAGGTACAAGGATGTCGTATCTGTCATACACCTGTGACTGGAGCACACCTGGCAGCACCCGGAGCTCAAAACAACAGTGACCCCTAACAGGAGCGTAAATCAACTCCCACACTCATCCAATCCATGTCAATTCTGTTTTTTCCTCAATCTAACTCAGAGCTCTAATTTCCATAATCAAATAAGAGAAATGGTTGGCGGATCTTGACCCAGTCAATGACTTACTAAGAAAAACAAAAGGTTATTTCACCCAACAAATGCCCAGTAGAAGCAGGTGGGCAGTTTGTGTCAAACTGGGTAGTGAAATAAGAAACAGAAATACCAATGGCTTTCCAGCATCACTTACGTTTTACAGCCACCTACGAGGGTTGAATGAAACCCTCTAACTGTTTCATTATCCATAACCGTTTAAATTCAAACCAGAACAAGTTTGAACTGGAGTTCAGTGCTATTCAGTGAAATAAATTTGGTGGGCTTCTGACTGCTGTTATCAGGGCTTTAGCTTTTTCTGGCAGCTGCCAGGAATCTTTGAGCAGAGAGGATTAAGGACTGCAGGTGAGGCAGCACAAAGAGCGTCCAGATCCACATGCTACGCAGGGCACAGCGGATGAATGGAACCAAATCAAAGAGCAGCCTGGATGAAGTTCAAATCCAGAGAGAGAAATCTAATCGGCTCCAGACTTATTTCTACTTTATTTAGGCTTCATAATCTTGTTTGGTGGTGTTTAGAAAGAGAGTGCTCAGAAACCGTGGCAGGACCAGACAAGAACCACACATTTGGCATGTTTAACATCAAATGAGAAAAGTTTGAACAGCCTCATTAGTTTAATTTAGATGAGCAAACCACTTCTGATAAATTAATGAAAATAATGTTTTCAGACAAAAAAACAAAGTAATGGTCAATCTACTGTGAAGATCACATGCTGATGCTGTTGTGATGTTAAAGTTAGCACCATTCAAATATCTCTACTCAAGCTAGCATCCTCCTGACAAATACTCACAGCAAAACAAAAACAGAAGTCAGGACACAAAAAAAAAAGATTTAAAAGAAATAAATTCTTCATGAACAGAAAGAGTCCTCACTTTTAGCCGTCTTCTGGGACATCTTCACGTCCTCCTTGGTGCTCTCACGCCTACATAGTGCCTGAGCTCATCCTGGGTGGTGAAATAAAAGAGTTATTATCTGTTGCATGGTTCATAGGACTTCTTTTAAAAAAGCTCTGAAAGAGGAAGCCAAGTAAAATGAAATGTACAAAAACAAGTTGCTTGGGGTCATGGTGCACATGCATCGCATGTCAAATAAAGGGCAATGTTTAGAGGAGTACTATAAGTTTTATAGGTTATAAATGATCTTGTCCTGAGTGTTTATGAGCTGCTTGTATCTCATTTCATCTTTTTAAAGAAGCAACTCCTCCACTTCATGAACTGGGTGAAATAAGATGTGAGAATTATAATAAAATCACACTGAAAATGTAGCGTAAAACTTCCTTCTAAAACATTTCAATCAAAGATGAAATAATAACCTGAATTAAAAAAAATAGAATCAGTAAATAATTCACTAAATATTAATCAAATCCAACTAAAGACGAATAGGGTTGTCACGGTGTGAAAATGTAACCTCACTGTTATTGTGACTAAAATTATCACGGTTTTCGGTATTATCGCGGTATTTTTTTTAACGTGTTACATTTTCAGACAACTAAATAAACCCTGTATATCAGGAAAATATTGTCCTCAGTTTGTGTCTAAATTTAGCCTAAAATGTGTTATTTTGTAATTATATTGTTTATTTGTTTACATTTTTCCCCTTTAGTCTATAAAATACCAATATTTGACCATTAATAATATCCGTGGATGCCTTTCGGCGCTGATCTGTGGTGTCCCTCACTCCAGAAGAAGTCGTGCTCTGCTGATGTTTTAGTAAAGTCCTTCATGGACGGATTTCATAAAAAGACAACGGCTGAGAGGACCAAGCCAGTCACTTTTCTCCCTCCCAGAAATTTCCCGGAATGCCGATAGCGGAAAAATGGCTTAAGCTCCACCCTGCATCAATGGCCTTTGTGAAATTACAGAGGTGGGATGAGGCGCTAAAGTCGATCCGCCTCTGAAGTTCCTCTAAGCTGGAAACGGTGGTAGTCACACAGCCCGACTGGCGACTAGGTGTGACGAATAGAAAAGATAACATCAAATGTGAGTAAATACAATTTAATGGCATTCAATCTAAATGTGTAAGTCAATCTAGATATTTAGAATTAAAGATATATTTTTCAAAATGTTATCTAATAGTAAACAAATCAAAAGCGTAAATTTCAAATAAAAGCTCCGTAGCTCATCTACGGTAAATAAATCTAAATATTGTGACAAATATAAACAAAACACTTAGCTTCAATTTACCATTTCCACATAAAAAACATTCTTTCATTTTTAATGTTATTCTTTTCATATTTTTTTCTTAATTGTTTATTTTTAAAATTACAGTGTGTACGGAAAGTCTTCAGACCCCTGCTAAAATCAGTTGAATATTTTTTTGTCCTTAATAATGTACTCAAACCACCCCACATTGACAGAAAAACACAGAATTTTAGAAATTATATCATAAAATTAGAGGTAAAATACCCAAAGATCACTGTGAATGAGCTCTACATATGCAGTCAGGAGAGGGAGAGGGTCAACAATTACTGCAGCCCTCCACCAGTCAGACCTTTACGGCAGAGCGGCCCGTCAGAAGCCTCTCCTCAGTGCAAGACACATGAAAGCCTGCATGGAGTTTGCTAACAGACACCTGAAGAACCCTGAGATGGTGACAAATAAGATTATCTGATCTGATGAGACCAAGATAGAACTTTATGGCCTTAATTCTAAACAGCATGTGTGGAGAAAACCAGGCACTGCTCATCACTTGTCCAAAACCCTTTTCAGATTGACATTCTGGAATATGTGTGGACAATGCAGTCCGGTTTTTAACCAGAACTGTGTTTTCAGACACACAACTTTTGTACCGGAACTTGTCCTTTCGGCTGCCTTCACACAGCAGGGAAAAGTTCCAGGTGTCTGAGGGGGGTGGGAAGGCTGTACCCGAATATTGCGTAAACATAGTGCGGCGGGCATACAATGCGTCATTTACCCAAACAAAGCCATTCAGTCAAACATGGCAGACGAAGAGATATAATTCTTCTCACTGATCGGACTTATGTTAAGCATAATTCTGCGCACACGAAGACACATAAGAGACCTGGATGATGAAGCTCAATGGTTAAAGGAATCACGGAAGCAGTGTGAAGCGCTCCATCGCGCGTCTAGACGGTACTGTAGGAGGCGAGCTGCCATGGTTCGCCGCATGCTACAGGAGCGAGCTATCTAGGTGCGCACAGCGTCCCCCGGTCCCCTCCTCCTTGTCCGGAACTCGACCTCACCAGTCTGAAGCAGCCACCTTGTCCGTGACAAGTCCGGACCTGTTACTAGGGGCGTTGTCCGGTTTAATTACGTAAAAGGTTATCCGGATGTTTGTATTCAGACACAAAGGTCTTACGGACAGAGTCCTGAACATTTCCGTTTTTCATGGCCTGTCTGAAGGGGGCTCAATACAGTACCCACAGTGAAGCATGGAGGTGGCAGCATCATGCTGTGGGGGTGTTTTTTAGCTGCAGGGACAGGATGACTGGTTGCAATTGTGGCCAAGTGCAGGGATATCCTGGACAAGAACCTTCTCCAGAGAGCTCAGGACCTCAGACTGGACTGAAGGTTCACCTTCCAACATGACAATGACCCTAAACACACAGTTAAAATAATAAAGGAGTAGCTTCAAAGCAGCTTTGTGACTGTTCGTGAATGGCCCAGTCAGAGCCCTGACTTTAACCCAATTGAGCATGTCTGGAGAGACCTAAAAATGGCTGTCCACCAACGTTCACCATCCAGCCTGACAGACCTGGAGAGGAACCCCAAATCCAGGTGTAAGAAACTTGTGCATCTTTACCAAGAAGATGCATGGCTCAAAAGGGTGCTTCCACTAAATACTGAACAAAGGGTCTGAATACTTAGAACCATGTGACATTTTTTAATAAATCTGCAGACATTTCTATAATTCTGCGTTTTTCTGTCAAAATGGGGTGCTGAAAAAATAATGAATTTGATCAATCTTAGCAAATGGCTGCAATATAACAGAGTAAAACATTGACTGGGGTCTGAATACTTTCTGTACCCACTGTATATTAATATAGATTTAAATTAGATTAGACATTAAATCCCACTTCCAGATTAACTGAACTATCCCTTTAAGAGGATCTCGGTGGACTCGTGGACAGCTGGACCTCGACCGAAAGGATGTACTGCATCAGCTTGCTTTGACTACACAAACAGACAGCTTAGAATATAGACCGGATCAGTTCAAAGAACATGTAATCCAACAGATAACTGAACATTTTTACTGCCGTGATGTACGTGCTATCAAGGTTTTTATCTGAATGCAGATTTGCAGATGCTTACATCTCTCAGACACACTCGCAGTAACAAAAGTAAAGCAGAAGCGACAATCAGCTGCACAGCTGAATGTCTATTTTAAGATGTTTGAGTGCACCTCCCATGTTGCAACAGGAGTAATGTAATATTCCTGTAAATCTCTTCCTGAATTGAGCTAACACAGCCGAGGGGACGGCGGAGGAGAAGATACCATGTGACCAATTAAAATGGATGCTCTGCATGTTTGTAAAATCCGGTTTAGGGGGTTGCTGAATGTTTTTATCTCGAGCAGGACATGATGCTGGGATGTGTTTATTTCCCACACTATTGTTTTGGAAATGGTAGAAAAATCTGAGTATGGCTTTGTGTCATTACAGAAAGCCTTCTGTACATACGTGTCACTGACCTCGAGGATCATTAGGATGATCAAATATCTCTCAAAAACATAAACTTTTTTTTGTCATTGTATTTGATACATCCAGCAAAAAGTCAAATACTTCCAGTTAGCTTTAATGAACTGCAAGTGGAATGGATTCTGCTGCTTTAGCGTCACTCGGGACATTAGCAAGAATTCTGTTATGTTCAGGTTTAAAAAAGGATCCCTTGTTTCACACCGACTTGTGGCACAGAGGATTTTCTTTTGTCTGTTTTTATTTTACCTTAAAAAATGTTTTAAATTTGATTCCAGCAACAACTTCTAAACAACAGATGATGTCAATGTTTCAAAAGACTGAAAAAGTTCTGTTTTTCCAGTTGAAAATAACTGATGGAACTTGTCAACACTAATAAGGTACAGAGGTTAAAGGCAGAGCTGTGTGTTGTGTAAAAGATAAACTGCCCCGTGTTGCGAATCACAGATACAACAGATACAACGCACCATAATTAGGCTTTAAAATATGTGACCTCTAGCTTTCGAATAAACACGTGGAAAGTGAACTCTCCTGTTTATGAGGCCCTACTGCAAATTCCAAAGGAACAGGATACTGCATTTGTGTTAAAGCCCTTATTTAAACATTTAAGTTTGCCTAAAAATAAGTAGGTATTATTATTATTATTGTTAAATAATATATTATGATTATTATTATTTATTGTTGTTGTTATTATTATTATTATTATTATTATTATTATTATTATTATTATTATTATTAATTAAATCTGCTTAATTGTCCTGGAACAAGGAAATTGGACTTCACAACACAACCCAACCAGGTTCAGGCGGGCTACAAAAAGCTGGTTTTCCTCAACAAGGGAATTGTGTTGACTAATTCAAGACATGCTGATGTGACAAAAGTAAAGACAGTGGTTCTTCTTATGTCTTTTTACAAGCACTTTCAAGGTGAGCTTTCCAGGTTTTGCAGCACCTTACATTGTTAGTGATTTTTTTATGCACCAATGATGCTTCAAAGTTCCCCTCTTTTCTCATCAATCATCATTTTCAGTTGCAATTCCAAGCTTAGGTATAGTTACAAGCCCTTCCAAAATCTTAAAAGTAACAGATTAGTATTCAAGCATTTTCAAGGTTTTTAGGAACCCATAAGAATACTGCTGACAGATCTGTGATCTTCATAATTTTCCTGTTGTTTAACAACGAGCCCGCAGCTGAAGCCTTGGGCCCGGTTCGGATGAACAGAACAGCGTGGTTGACCTGACGAAACACTGACCGATGACGGCGTCCCCAATCACCTCAAAACCAGGCACTCACTCGTGCATATGAGCAGCTGGGACTTTAAAGAAAAGAAAAAAAGTTTCCACGCACTGCTGCTTAAACAGTGAGACGTGAAACCAGAATTGTGGGTGGTGTTGCTATTTTCATGCGTAACTCAGTTTTGTAAATGCATAAACCTGTACCCACAGGAGATGTTTTAAAGTGTGTTAAAGGTCATCCTCGATATTCAGGAAGCTGAGCTAATCAAGGGACAAGAAATACATATAAGTGCAGGGGCCGTTTTAGGAGTGAACTATGATGAATGTATGAGAAATGTATGTTGATTGGAGCTTTTGGTGATGACTTGGAAGCTTCTGGAAAATGTAAGTGTTAGGCTTGGGCAGTATTACGGTATTACCGTATACACGCGGTATTACAAAATAGCGACGGTGTCAGTTCCAATACCGTCATGAAAAACAGCTGTGCGACTGATCAGTTCCTCTATCCCCATACTCCAGCTCTGCAGGGAGAGCGTGTTGGCTGTGACAGAAAACGACCTCCAGCTTACAAAGTCAATAAAAACCACAATTCTAAAAAAACTGGAGGCCAAGTATGAATCTGATTCAGTGCGCAAATTAATGCGAAAATGCACTTTCCTCGATCCTCGTTACCGTGGCAGATATGGGCTTGATGACAACGCACTGGCTGAAATCAAAGCTGAATTACAGGCTGAGATCGTGAGCTTAGGGGGGCAAACAGCACCAGAAGCAGTGGCCATCCGAACTATAGAGGAACGAGCACAACCTGAACCCCCACGCAAAAAAATGTCTCTGGGGGCTCTCCTGCAAAAACGAGCAGCTGACGCTGCGCCGGAGGGTCCCGTCAGCGCAGCGCAACGAGCTGGAGCTGAAATAACAGTGTACTGTTTGGAACCTGTTATTCAAGGGGGCGAAGACCCTCTTCTCTGGTGGAAATATGCTGGCAGTCGTTTTGCCCAGATGTCACGACTGGCCCGGAGGTATCTATGTATTTGTGCCACCAGCTCACCATCGGAGCGGGTTTTCAGCAACGCAGGTAAAGTTGTTGATCCACAACGTGCAAACTTGAACCCAGAAAAAGTAAACATGCTGGTTTTTCTGGCGAGAAATCTTAACTAGATTTGCTGCAACATGCCGTAATGTTCACACTCCCGTGTGTGTGTGTGTGTGTGTGTGTGTGTGTGTGTGTGTGTGTGTGTGTGTGTGTGTGTGTGTGTGTGTGTGTGTGTGTGTGTGTGTGCACACGCACGCGTGTGGCCGTGTGACGGAGTTTTCTTTTTATAATTTTAATGCTGTTGTTTTGGTTGCAATAATTTTTATAATTTCAATGTTTTTGGTTATTCAACTCTTGTTGACTGTTACGGGCCTATTTGCACTGTTTCATGCTGCTCGTTGATAAGTTGTTCACTTGATTTGCGCACAACAGCTGTCCTGGGTTTTTATGTTGATTTATTGCTGTTGACTCTGCACTTGTTTATAAGCTGCATTTTTTGTGTTAATAAATGTTGTTAATAGTATGTGAGTTGCGTTGTTATTTTTTTAGTAATTGTTTGGTATTTGGATTCAGAAAGGTGAAGGTCCACTGGAGGCTTACGTTATACTTTTTAAGTATTTACGGTAATACCGTATACCGGGGTAAAATTAAGTGGAAGTTAGACGGTATTCAAATTTGGATACCGCCCAAGCCTAGTAAGTGTAAAAGCAATGACAGGACAAAAATCACTGGCTCTCTTATGCCACTTATACATATTAGCAACGGCCCAGCCTGACCGTGTTGGTTCCAATGCGTTTTACTGATTTGTAACAAATGGTTACAAAACTTTGCCATTCTCAAATGTTGTTGTTTTACACATTTACCTCTTCACTTGTTGCCAGTGATGAAAGGGAATCTCCCCAGGGCTTTTTGACCCTAATGGGCATCCGTTGGTAAGGTCTTACTCCAACACAAAAATATTGCTTGCGATTTAGGTATCTACTGTTCTATATCGCTCGGAAAAATACACAGTGTTGCTTTAAATCTCAATCTACTGGTATCAGCATTCACTATCATTTCTCTACTCAAAGTGATTTTGGTATATTTTGAACTTTTATTCATTAAGTTTCCTATATTTGAACCCAAAAAAGAGAAACATTGTCTCTGGTGAGTTATTTCTGACCTGAAAAGACTTATTTATTGGTTGACTGAGACACCTTTCTCATTGGGGGGGGGGGGGGGGGGGGGGCTTGGTTCAGAATAACCAGATTTCCTTCCCTTCAGGAAGCCCTGACACCCGACAACTTACAAGTGAAAGCAGCATCGCTTGGAGCTGGAGTGACCTTGTATGCAGGGCTCCTATCAGTATCCCAATTTACTCTCAGGCACACTGACAAGTGGGGCCCAGGAACCAGGACAGCGGAGGGAATCTCTGCAATTCCACTGGGCTCAGTCCCGAGCGGTAAGTCCAGAGTTCAGGGCCCACTTTTAAAACAAAATTGTATGGCATTGTTTCTCCAGCAGTTGCAAAGGACTTGCAAGCTGATGCTTGCTTGATTAATTTATTAGTCATGTGGTTGCACTGATGTTGTATTGAAAAATAAATGCATTAGATGCACCAATCTTTGCTCTGACTTTAAATTACATTTTAAAAGAAGATCTGACAGAAATAAGTGATATTTGAGAAGTGAAACAAAGTTTGTAGGGTTTACAGAAAGTGTGCAACCAACAATTTATAAAGGAAAAGTCATGGAAATTAACAAGGCTTCCCAAAATTAGACATCCCACTGTGTAGTTTTGTTTGTAAAAATCCATCTTTCCACGGTTCTAAACTTGTTGAATTAAACAATAACACACACATGCCATCATGTCATCAGGTCCACAACATGATTCCACATCTTCTGGGACATTCTGGGATTTATCCTGTTGCTACGTTTTCAAATCTTTCTTTCTGTTGAGTTTTCTATACATTTTTCCCCATCAGGCGGTCTTTTTTCAACAGTTTAAACTGGCTCCCCATAAAGAACCCTGTCTGAAACTCTAAACCAAGCTTCTTTTACAAGCGTTCCTCAGACAGAAACATGTGGCTGAATACAGTTCATATCTGTGTTGATTGGAAAATACTTTCTCGGTTTTCTCAGAAAAAAACTAACAGGTTGTCTGAATAACTCTTTGACGACTTGATTATTATTACTATTCTGAGCTACTACAGCAATCAATTTCCTTCTGGGATTAATAAAGTATTTTTGAATTGAATTGAATGGTTTTAAAAATGCAATCTGCTAACTGTTAATTAATTAATGCATGAATAAATAAATAAGTTTTACCTTTCTCCCCTTTCATTTCAAAAGATTGTGTCCTCTGAGAAGCACTGATGGTCCGAGCTTCCTCCTAAACAAAATAGAAAAAATAGACCATTTAAAAATTGTTATAATATTTATTAGTTCTTGCACTAAACCAACAATATGTGTAAAATAGGGCAAAATTAATGCAATTTTAACTTCTATAAGTGGACAAAATGTTGGTTGTCAAGATTCCAGCATTCATGAAGAGAAAGTTTGGGCTTTAAAGATGTTTCACCATTTTATGTTTACATAAATAATCCATAAGAAGGGTTAAGTTTGAGTAAAACTTGTAGATGGACTTGTGTTTTTATAGCTTTCCGTTTCCGTTAGTGTCCTGAAACAGGAGCAGCAATGACTGGATATTTGACTTGTGGGACTATAAGGCACAGGAAACACAAACCCTCCCCACGGGCACTGAAGGCAACACAGAGCTGCACAATAACAGCACAGCATGTGATACAGAGGGCTAGAGGGTAGCCAGACTAAAGCAGGGGGGTGGGACAATGCTGCAGGGCACTCTGGATGGCTGACTGTCACTGCAGAAGTCCAGCACCAACAGAGACAGATTTAGTCCGTCAGAGATGTCCTTCACCACAGACAAACTGAAGGCAATGTTCTCCGCCTGCCCATGGATCAGGCCACGTACTGAGCTGTGTCACACACTGGAGTGATTAACAAAGGGTCAGGCTGCTACCACAGAACTCTGCAGTGGAAGTAATTCCATCAAAGGCTCTTCATGGGAAACTTTCTTTGTTAGCAATTCATTGGCTGAAGCATTTTCCTCCCAATTCCCAAAAAGGAAGGACAGCTACTGAAAGCTCTTAGATAACATTAGAGGAGCAGTTGGTCTAGAATAGAGCTTAAACATTAGCATTCTTGACTTGAAATGTTCTATTGATCACAAATGTTTGAGTAGCATTGTGTGTCTTCAGGAAAAATATAAAGTGGATCTTCCCAAAACAAAATCACGATACACGTTAAAATATCCCGCTGGCTCTCTGATGATTTAGTTCAGTGTGCAAACACCTAGTCTGGATGTCCTACAGATGTGTTCTGGACCAACGGACTCAATATTGACATGATCTGCACGTCCATGCGACGTCGACTGTTTCCAGGGTAGGGTTCCTATGATTTCAGTGAAGCGGTAATTGCAAGACAGAACACCTGATATAGACATTTAAAATGGATCATAAGGATTCTTTCAAGACAATCTATCTGTGCTTTTCATACCTTGATGGACAAATGAGAAGCAAAGAGGTGGGCTGCCCCCACCACATTTACACTTTATACCGGACCATGTGGACCCAAACAATAAATATCAGACAAAGATGAACAAGTGCTAGTGAGAAAAGAGCACATCACTCCTGCTCTTAAATCTCTACACCGGTTAGTAAACTATAGTACTGCTACTTTATAAATCACTCAATGGCATGAGCCCAAAATACGTACATGGATCTCCGTGCAGCATATACACCCAGCAGACGTCTGAGATTCACAGGAAACAGTCCGCTGATAGAACCCCGGGTCAGAACCAAACAGGGTGAAGCTGCTTTTAGTTACTATGCTGCACAGATGGAATCAGCTTCCTCATGGCCTCAAATGTGCTCCAACTCTAGTAACTTTTAAATAAAAATTGAAGACTTTCATGCATCCATCAGCCTTTGAATGAATGTCTCTTATACAGCACCTTCTGCACAGTAGCTGCTCATCCTTTCATTTTGCCTTTTTATTTTATTTCTTACATCTAATTTTATTTGTGTATTTTACATAACATTTTATAATCTGCTGTTTTATGCTGTCGTGTTGGTTTTAGTGTTTCGTGTCTTGCTGTTTTTGCTCCTGGAAAGAAAATTGATTTACTCATGTTGTTTGAAATGCGCTTTACAGATAAAGCTGGCTTGCCTTGCCTGGTGTAAGCCTCACTTTTAGCTAACTCTTCAACTTCAACTCATCAACAGCAGCCCAAAAAAAGTCACCACCTAGATTTAACTAAGCAAATAGGTATAAGCCTCCTGTTGGACATTTGCTGCATGGGTAATCTTTCAGATCATTGAGTCAATAGTACTGTTTATGGGTAAAGTTCTGGTAAAATGGTTAAGATTGGAACAATTTATGACCTTTAGTGAATGATCTTTTCCACTAAAACCCCTTATCATGTGCCTGCTAAATCACAGAGACACAATATTATCAAAAATCTCATGCATGTGGCCACATTAGAAACCATATCTGGGGCATTATAATCCCTGACTTTAATCCAGCAAAAGCACTTTAGCTAGTGTCCATCTCTGATGGTTTGGCTGCCTTGTATAAGACAAAAGCTTTCACTTATGTGGACCGATTATTCTTCCTTTAAGCATCTGCATGTGAGAAGGCATCTCAGTGTGGTAAAACGTGTGTCAAATGTACAGCAGATGGTAAATAGTAAATCTTCTGGGGTTTTATGGCAGAGTCTGCGGGGTAACTAGAGCTCTGCGATGTTTTGGAGTTTTGTTTCCCTCCAAATATCCTGATCCTTTGCATCCCTTCTCAAACCGAACACAACGTTTGCTTTGTTTTCAGAGACAAAACATTATCTCATGGCTTTAATTCAAAGTTGCAAAATATAAAGGCATTCCTGCGAGATCCCTGCAGGCAATCAGAAGTAGAAGAAGCTTGTGGGAAAGAAGACGTTTAGCAAAAGTATTTTATTTCATTTCTCCAAGAGAAAACCACTCCTACTTCCCAGCTCTACAGAGAGAGAGATAGGATGTTATATGACTCACATTTACTAAGAGGTTTCAAAGAACTTTGTGGGTTTTCATCTGGTTGTCAATAATTGACTCAGCTTTGATCCCATTTTAAAAGTTATAAATAACATGTATATTGGCCAAAGACTATAGATTCAACTGTTGAAACTGCTTCAAATCTGCCAAATCACTAAAAATATATAAAATAAATAACATCCTCTACAAAAAACAGCCAGAAAAAGAGACATATTGTAAAATTCAAGGTTCTTAAATCTTTTTCTAATTTAAATTCAAGCCCTTTTGAAGGAAAACGTTCACAACTTTACAGCAGCTAACAGGAGTTATGATTAAATATTCCTTTTGTCATGGATACATTTCTGTTAATTCCAAGCAATAATAAAACTCCAAACACTCTCAAAATCTGAATAAAGCCCCCTTTAAAATCCAAGCCTTTTTAATTGTTTCCAGCACCTGTAGGGATTCTGAATATTTAATTGTTTTCTTAAATCAAATTAAAATCAGAATCAAAAACTGAGAAGTGAATTAGTCCATCCAACAGAGGATTAAAATTTTCATATTTACATCAATTAAAAAATGCATTCTTTATTTTAAGGGGCAATGATACAATAATGTTTAAACAATTTGTATTCATTCCCAACTTTTAGTATATACAGTCAGGTCCATAAATATTGGGACATCGACACAATGCTAACATTTTTTGCTCTATACACCACCACAATGGATATCAAATGAAACGAACAAGATGTGCTTTAACTGCAGACTGTCAGCTTTTATTTGAGGGTATTTACATCCAAATCAGGTGAACGGTGTAGGAATTACAACAGTTTGCACATGTGCCTCCTACTTGTTAAGGGACCAAAAGTAATGGGACAGAATAAGAACCATAAATCAAACTCATACATTTCAATACTTGGTTGCAAATCCTTTTCCCTTCAGTTTTGTCTTCAGCAAGTGAAATGCATGCTCAATCGGATTCAGGTCAGGTGATTGACTTGGCCCTTGCAAAACAGTCCACTTCTTTCTCTTCAAAAAGTCTTTGGTTGCTTTTGCAGTATGCTTTGGGTCATTGTCCATCTGCACTGTGAAGCGCCGTCCAATGAGTTCTGAGGCATTTGGCTGAATATGAGCAGATAATATTGGCCGAAACACTTCAGAATTCATCGTGCCGCTTTTGTCAGCAGTCGCATCATCAATAAATACAAGAGAACCAGTTCCACTGGCAGCCATGCATGCCCACACCATGACACTTCCAGCACCATGCTTCACTGATGAGGTGGTATGCTTAGGATCGTGAGCAGTTCCTTTCCATCTCCATACTCTTCTCTTCCCATTACTCTGGTACAAGTTGGTCTTGATCTCATCTGTCCATAGGATGTTGTTCCAGAACTTGAAGGCTTCTTTAGATGTTGTTTGGCAAACTCTAATCTGGCCTTCCTGTTTTTGGGGCTCACCAATGGTTTACATCTTGTGGTGAACCCTCTGTATTCACACTGGTGGAGTCTTCTGTTGATTGTTGACTTTGACACAGACACACCTACCTCCTGGAGAGTGTTCTTGATCTGGACAACTGTTGTGAAGGGTGTTTTCTTCACCAGGGAAAGGATTCTTCAGTCATCCACCACGGTTGTTTCCCGTGGTCTTCCGGGTCTTTTGGTGTTGCTGAGCTCACCGGTGAGTTCCTCCACTCCTCCTCCACCTTCAAACCACCAGACCTCCTACTAATCCAGAATCTACTTGCAGGCCCAGAGACATTTTGGTATGGTACATTTAACATCCTAAGCTGCTTATATTTGACAAGATACAGTAAATGCTGTTTTGAATTGTAAAACCTCTTTAAGGCCAAACCAAATACCGGACTACCTGATCAACAGTGACTATAAGGACTGTTAAAGAACCACCCTCTACACAAACATGCACTAGTTTCACAGACATTACTGGATGAGGACATATAACAATGATTTAGAGGCCATTTCCAAACCGCAATATCCGGGTATCAATAATTCATTCCATCACTACATTTATTATTTATATTACAATTTATGAACCACATTTTTTCTCCTGTTAATATCACTGCAACAGTTAAAGTGTTTTATTGTAAATGTGTTGCTTACTTTTCTAAAGATAGAACATGTTTTGTAGTTTGTGTCGAAATTATTTTAACTGATTTGTCCAACTTTTTGAAACTCCAAGCAATGTTGTCCAACTCTGTTTACAGAGGGATAGCAAAGCTGAATGTCATGAAAACATTTTTATGGCTTTTCTTCTCTGTTTAAATTGTGACACCAGGTATTAGTTTATC